CAACCGTTACCCTGATTATAGTGGTAGTAGTGAGGCTTATTATGCTGGTGGTATTTCCTGGGCCATTTGCCCCAACTCTGAATGATTTTCCCCAAATCCTGACTGGTTTTGTCTCAAACCTTGACCATGCACCCCAAATCTCAAACATTTCTCCAAATTTTGACAATTTTTAACACAGATCTCGGTTGTTTTCCCCAAATCTTCACTGGTTTTCACCTCAGACCTTAACATTTGACCCAAACAGTGACCCTTTGCCCCACATCTGAACTGTTTCTGTCCCAAACGTTGACCATTTTCCCCTAAACCCTGATCATTTACCTCAAACCTCAACCATTTCCCCCAAACCTTAAACCGTTTTTGTCCCAAATCTTCATGGTTAGGCCCAAACTTCAACCCCTTTTAGGCTTCAAACCTCAACAACTTTTAGGCCAAATTCTTTCCCCCTTTTGGGCCACAAACCTCGGGTATTTTAGGCCCAAACCTTGACCCCTTTTATAGCTGAAACCTCATTCCCTTTTTAGGCCCCAAACCTCGGGTATTTTGGGCCCAAACCTTGTCCCTGTCCCTCCTCCGCAAGGCCACGGCTTCACCTTGAGCAGCTGTGCCGTGGTTGTGCAGTGACGGGCGCCCAGGACGTGGCTCAAATCCGTCATGGGCATTAAGAGGGTGGTGGTACCACAAGATACGGTGGTCAACGGGCGAGACTTGGGCCAGCACTGCTGGGTTTGGGGTCAAACGGTCAAGGTTTGGAGCAAAAGGAGTCAGGAATTGGGGAAAATGGTTTGGATTTGAGGTGAACCAGTGGAGATCTGGAGTCAGCGGTTGATATTTGGGGCAAATGGTTGAAGTTTGCAGTCAAAGGTCAAGTTTAGGGGCAAAACCAGTCAAGTTATGTGGAAAATGGTCAAGATCTGTGGTAAAAATGGTGAAGAATTGGGGAAATGGTTGAGATTTGGGCCACACGGTCAAGGTTTGAGACAAAACCAATCAGGATTTGGGGAAAATGGCCCGGGAAATGTCCCCACCATCAGCACCACCACTATAAACACCTTTGGCGCAGTAGTAGGTGGCCGTGTCGTCGGCCTTGAGGCCGCTCATCCGCAGCGTCACCGTGCTCTGGGAGTTGTCCCTGGAGATGGTGAAGTGCCCCTTGACCCCCGGCGCGTAGTAGGTGTAAGCACTATCATAATTAATATATGCGACCCACTCCAGGCCCTTCCCAGGCGCCTGTCGCACCCACTGCATGTAATAGTTCCCAATACTGAAGCCTGAGGCCTTGCAAACGAGGGTCAGGGACCCCCCGGGGGGCTGGAGGCCACCGCCGGACTCCACCAGTGTCACGGCCGCCCGCCAGCCTGGAGGAGGAAGAAGAAGGACGCCATTGAGTCTCCCAGTTCAACCAGTTGTCCCCATGAGTGGTGCCTGGGGTTGGGGTTCAAGGGGCTGAGGCCTAAAATGAGGCTTAAAATGGTCCAGATTTGGGAGTGAAATGGGCAGACATTGATGTTCTGCCCCACATCTCAACCATTTCCCCAATTCTTCACCATTTGTACCACAGACCTTTACCATTTTCCACATAACTTGACTGGTTTTGCCCCTAAACTTGACCTTTGACTGCAAACTTCAACCATTTGCCCCAAATATCAACCGCTGACTCCAGATCTCCACTGGTTCACCTCAAATCCAAACCATTTTCCCCAATTCCTGACTCCTTTTGCTCCAAACCTTGACCGTTTGACCCCAAACCCAGCAGTGCTGGCCCAAGTCTCGCCCGTTGACCACCGTATCTTGTGGTACCACCACCCTCTTAATGCCCATGACGGATTTGAGCCACGTCCTGGGCGCCCGTCACTGCACAACCACGGCACAGCTGCTCAAGGTGAAGCCGTGGCCTTGCAGAGGAGGGACAGGGACAAGGTTTGGGCCCAAAATACCCGAGGTTTGGGGCCTAAAAAGGGAATGAGGTTTCAGCTATAAAAGGGGTCAAGGTTTGGGCCTAAAATACCCGAGGTTTGTGGCCCAAAAGGGGGAAAGAATTTGGCCTAAAAGTTGTTGAGGTTTGAAGCCTAAAAGGGGTTGAAGTTTGGGCCTAACCATGAAGATTTGGGACAAAAACGGTTTAAGGTTGGGGCAATGGTTGAGGTTGCAGTGACC